ATCTAACTAGGAAGAGGATTTATTTTTAATGACATTTTACAAATCTCTGTTCTTGCCCTTTTCCATATTTTTTAATGAACTGGAGAGAGATAAAGGAGGTAGTCCTATCAAATTTTAGATTAACACATATGATAGAAATAGCTATGCTTTTGGAGTAAAACCTAAAATAAACAGGATAGAATAATGGATTTAATTCTAGAAATTAAAAGTTAAAGACGAGTCAGTCCTTGATCCGTATGTTGGTGTAAGCCTGTTGCATACTAATGAGCCGGGTAAAGACTCTAAAAAATAAGCAAAATAGAAAAACTGTGAAGGGGTTTCAAAATAGAAATGTGATCCATTCGAAGGTGATTTTACCAGGTTATTTTTTTCCCCTTTCCTCTCTTAGGACTGCCCAAAGTGTAGGCAGCTATCATTGAGCTACCTGGCAGAACAGTATTGCAGGAGAGGAAAATATAACGTATGAGTTTCCCAGGGATGCCATAGCACGGTACCACATATTGAATGGCTTAAAACAATTGAAGTTTTTCTCATAGCTTTGAAGGCCAGAACCCCAAAATCAACCCGTTTGTAGGTTCACATTTCCTCTAAACCTTTAGGGAAGAATCATTTTTAATTTTATTTTTATTTACTTATTGCCTCTCCTAGCTTCTGGTATTTGCAGGCAATCTGGTGTTTCATGGCTTGTAGATACACCCCTCTAATCTCTGCCTCCATATTCCATGGCCATCTTCTTCCTATGTGTCTCTGTCTTCAGAGACATGACATTCCCATCTCTGTGTGTGTCTGTGTGTCTTCTCCTCTTATAAAGATTAAAAAAAAAAAAAAAGATTCCAGTCACATTGAATTTTTTTAAAGATTTTATTTATTTAATTGGAGGGTGGGCACATGAGCAGGGGAAAGGGGCGGAGGGACAGAGGGAGAGGGAGAAGCAGACTCCCGGTTGAGTAGGGAGCCCAATGCAGGGCTTGGTCCCAGGACTCTGAGATCATGACCTGAGCCAAAGTCAGATGCTTAACTGACTGAGCTGCCCCTCTAGTCATATTGGATTAATGGCCCATCTGATTCCAATAGGAAATCATCTAACTTAGATATTTATTACATCTACAAGGACCCTATTTCCAGGTAAGGTCAATTAACAAGTACCTGGGGTTAGGACTTTAACATATTTTTGTGGAGAGAATCAGTTCAGCCCACAATACTCAGAAACCTCATTTTTCTGAAGAAAAGAAATGGTAAATGGAGGTCTGTTCAAGCTGAAGACTGTGGAGAGACTCCTAGAGAGGAAACAGAGAGGCGGGTACCCTATTTCCATATATGAATAAGAACAAGTTTAAAGTTCATTCCTGGGCTCATACACAGAACAACAACAACAAAAAGGCAAGCAACATAGCAAAGTCTTTGAGAAGTGCACAGTTATTTAACGGTGGCCCAGGTCTCAGATTAATTTCTCAGTGGTACATGCATGGACAAATCCAAACAAGCCTAGGCTTTGAAAAATGAACTAAAAATTATACTGTGAGTGCTTATTTCCTGAAACTACCACAGCTTATTGCCCAATATAACCAACAAAATAAAACAAAACAAAAACCTAACATTCTCCTGAGGAGAGGCTCTGACAAACATAACATTCAAAACAAAACTTACAGAGTATGATCCAAAATTGCTGAACACACAAAGAGCAACAGATATCCGACCAACTCTTACTGGAAACAAAATCAGTTGCTAAACCTGAGTAAATCTAGATAGTGTAATTATCAGACAAAATTTTAAAGCAGCTATTGTAAATATGCTTCACTAAATTAATAAAAGAATTGAAGTTCTCAGAATAGAATTAGAAACTATAAGTAAGGAGAAAATGGAGGGGTGCCTGGGTTACTCAGTCACTTATGTGTCTGCCTTCAGCTCAGGACATGATCACAGTATCCTGGGATTGAGCTTCATGTCAGGCTCCTTACTCAGCAGGGAGACTGCTTCTCCCTCTCTCTCTGCCACCCCCTAGTCTCTCCACTTGTGCTCCCTGGTTCTGTCAATCTCTCTGTCAAATAAATATAAAAAATATTTTAAAAAGTAGAGGAAAATGGAAATGTTAGAATAAAAAAATAAATATATAGAAGTTTTAAAAAGTCACTTGTTAGACTGAATAGGAGAATGGAGATGAAAGTGAAAAGAATGACTGAACTTGAACATAGACCTATAGAATGTATTCAGTCTGAATATGGGAAAAAGAACAGTTTGGAAAAAAAAAAGCGAATAAAGCTTCAAAGACATAGTGATATCATCAAAAGAACTACCATTAATGTTATTGAAGTATCAGAAAGAGAAGAGAAAGTTACTAGAACAGAAAAAAAAAAAAAAACTGAAACAATAATGGCCAAAATTTACCAAATTTGGATGAGAAACATACACTTAGAGATTCAGGAAATTCAATGAACTCCAAACAGGAGGAACTTTAGAAACAAAAACAACAAATACTTGTACATACACACACATACAGACATAGCACAAGTGAAACTGCTGAATTTCAAAACTTAAGAGAAAAGGCTTCAATGTAACCTGAGAAAATACCACATTATATACAGGACAATTCAAACCACTTCAGATTGCTCATCAAATACATGGAGACCAATGATACCAGCACGTCCCCTTTAAAATTTTGGTGAAAAACACCTTTCCATCTAAAATGCCATATCCTGAGAAAATATGTTTCAGGAATGAAGGCAAAGTAAAGACATTTTCAAATGATGAAAAAACTAAAAGATTTCACGAACAGAAGACCTGTTCTTCAAGTACTTCTAAAGGAAATTCTTTGGCCTACAAGGAGATAATACCAGAGAGAAACATGGCTCTATAGGAATTAGAGACCATAACTAGAGAAATACTAAACAACTGGTATTTTTCTATTTAAGTTATACACATATACATATATAAAATCTTGAGGTGAGGTCTACAATGTATGCACTCGTAACAAATAGCATGACTATACATAAAGATCATAGAGGGAGGGAAGAATCTACATGGTTGCAAGTCTTCCATATTTCAATAGCAATCGCATAAGAAGCCAACACGGAAAGGTTTGATATGTATACTGTAATATCTAGGGCAACTAGAGGCCATAAACCAATACATAATTTAGCATTATTCATATAATTCAGAAGATTTCAGAAAAGATGAAACTGAGAAATAAAATAAGGGAAAACAGTCAGAAAAACAAATGGTAAATAACTGAATTTAGTAGACTTAAATTCAACCATGTCAGTAATTACACTAAGTGGTAATTGTTGAACTACTCCAGTTAAAAAGCAACATACCATTCAAAATGTCCAAGGTAAAATCCTATATTCATACTACAGCACAGATTGAATAAGAATTACTATATAGAAAAAGACACAATTTAAATATAAGACAATGATGAATCAAAAGTAAAGGAATAGAAAAAGATATAGAATGCAAACAGAAAAAGCAAGTCTGAAATGACTTGTGTGGAGAGGAGAAGGGAGTTTGGGGAAATTGGAGGAGGAGACGAACCATGAGAAACTATGAACTCTGAAAAACAATCTGAGGGTTTTGGAGGGGAGGGGTGGGATGTTGGGTGAGCCTGGTGTTGGGTATTATGGAGGGCACGTATTGTATGGAGCACTGGGTGTGGTACATAAACAATGAATTCTGGAACACTGAAAATAAATTAAAAAAATAAATAAAAATTTAAAAAATATATTAAAAAATACAGATAAACAAGGCTTCCCCCTAAAATTATCGTATGAGAGCTATATAGAGGGACATAGAGTGATACAAGGAAAATATGTATCAGGAAGACTTAACAATTGAAAATGTATATGCATCTAAAAATAGAAGCTCACCTGAATAAAAAATGGACAACATAGGGGGAAGTAAAAAAAAAAGAAAGTAAAAAAAAAAAAAAACTGCAATCTGCAGTTATAGCAGAAAATTGTTACATGTTGTGGAACAATAGAGAAAAACTTTCGTGTTTTTGCACAGATAGGGGTCTGTGAACAAATTCTACTGAAACTTGGAATTTTAGCTAAAAGAATAAGCCTTGGAAGATAATTAAAGACTAATTAGATAGACAGCTCCAGAGAGATTTACCTCTGTGGGTGCATGTGTCTCTATTTCAAGTGGTGGCCAGAGCTATGATCACAAGAGATACTAGGTTATAAAGCTGGAGGTTATACCTGTTTAACCTGTTTTTCTAAATTCATCACTTTGCTCATGCCTTTAAGTAAAGTGGATAGCAGCAAAACGAACCTTACCTTCTCTAACTTAAAATGGCTGCTGAGAATCGAAATGTTTTTATTTTCTTTTTGCAACAAATATTTTGGTATAACTTCAGAAGTAATGTAACATATCAATTATTAGGTTAAACAGTGAGGATGGTAATTATCAATGAAGTGTGAGATACTAAAAAATGGACAAAAGACTTCACAGCAGTATGAATACAGAACAGATATTTAATAATAAAAATGTGTTAAAAAGGAGGAATCAAAAGGAACTTTCTGATTAATTTAGTTACCAAAAAGATGATTCATGTGCTTCGTGTACATATATTTATTATTTGCTTATGAACAAAGACTATTTTCTATGACCAATAAAAGGATGTTATACAAATGGATTCAAGTCATATGAGTACCAAAACAGAAGTCTGAGTAGCTGGAGTTTACAAGGACTATCATAAGAATGGGTGATATTAATAAGAGCCTGAATGCCTAGGGATATTTAGAGCATTGACCAAAGAGCTTTTAAAAATCTTTGAATTAACCTATAGTCTTCCTTAGTGCCTGGTGGGCTCCATCTGCCTTTTATATTTCATACTAAATGCTAAGTTTCTATCATAAGATTTGATTTCTGTGAAAGTTAGCCATTTAAAATATTGCCATAAATGCAGAAATAAGCAAAAGAAACCTCTTAGGAGTCATGAAAATGAAATGTACAACACTGCTATTTTGAACCATAGGAGACTTTTCCAACCAGGGTCCCGTAGAATGGCTCCTACTAAGAGGGGTGACGAAAAGAAGGACCATTCTGTCGTCGACGAGGTAGTGACTAGAGAATACACAAGCAGCATTCACAAGCACATCCATGGAATGGGTTTTGAGAAGTCTGCCTCTAAGGGACTCACAGACATCCGTAAATTTGCCAGGAAGGAGATGGGAACTCCAGATGTGTGCACTGACATCAGGCTCAACAAAGTTGTCTGGCCCGAAGGAATAAGGAATGTTCCATAGCATATCCATATGCGGTAGTCCAGAAAACGTACTGAGGATGAAGATTCACCAAACAAGCTGTACACGTTGGTTACCTATGTACCTGTCACCACTTTCAAAAATCTACAGAGAGTTAATGTGGATGAGAACTAATTGCTGATTGTCAAATAAAGGTATAAAACTGAAAAAAAAGGAGAAACTTTAAGATCCACTGTTACTAATTATAAACTTGCGTGTATATATTTAAAGCCAATAAATTGAAAGTATATACAAGTGAGGTGAAGAAACCAAACTGAGGAATTAGAAAAAATAAACAGGCAAGCACAGTTTGCTGTCAGAAGACATTTATAATTAGTATAAATAGACCTATTACCCAACAAAACCCTTTGAAGATATCAAGGAGAAAGAACTCAAGAATATTCATTATGCTATATTTAATATTTAATTTATATTTAATAATAAATATATGCTATATTTAATGAGGAAGTATATATATTTTAATATAAGATAGTAATATTTTGTTTTCTTGTTGTTTGTCATCTGCCTCTCTTAAGAGGCTTTTGGTTATAAGTAACAGAAAAGGAAGGGGTCTCAAAGCACGGTACATAAGAGCTCCAATATCTCAATTTGGCTGTTGTCCATTCTTGAGGCTCTTTTTCCTACCCTGGCTTGATATTATAGGTAGAAGATTATAGAAAAAGCAATGATGGGGCACCTAGGTGACTTGGTCAGTTAAGCATCTGCCTTTAGTTCAGGTCATGATCTCAGGGTCCTGGGATCTAGCCCCACATCTGTCCTACTTCCTGCTCAGCAGAGACTCTGCTTGTCCCTCTGCCCCTCCCCTCACTCATCCTTGCTTGCTCTCTGTCTCTAAATACATACATACATACATACATACATACATACATACATAAATACCTAAAGCAATGACATATTCAGTAATATGCACCAAAATTCCTGTAGAAGAGAGAGTGTCAAACTGGGATATTTTATTGTCAGTCATTGCTAAGAAGAATGGAGCAATGAAATTTGACTATTAGATTTTTACTTTTAAGTCATATTAGTAAACAAACTCTAATTCTACCAAATGAAAGAAGGAAGTATTCATTGTTATTTAGATAACTAGAGAAGGCCTGCCATATTATCAGAACATTAAATATTAATAAAAGTTGTTAACATACAACCATACTTTATTTTTTAATTTTAATTATATTTTTATTTTTAAAATGTTTTAAAAAAATACATATTTTTTATTATGTTCAGTTAGTCACCATAAAGTAATTACATCATTAGTTTTTGATAGGTATTAAGGAGGGTCTTTTATGCAATGAATCATTGGGTGTTTTATGCAATGAATCATTGAACACTACAACCATACTTTAAATTTTGTGGTGAAATGAGACCAAAATGGCCAACAGAATCAAAACAAATCTTGGAATGAAAGTGTGGCCAGAGAGCATAATTCCAGATAAATAAAAATTTGGAAATCTCAAAGAGCTATTCAAGATAATTGGAGGATTGGAACCATAGAAGTATAAAAAATAATAGGAGATACACTTCTTAAAATTTATATCATTAATTTATCCACCATTCCATTATTTAAAAACTGTTTCCTTGAGTACTTTCTTTATAGGCAGCATGTATCCACAGCATTTGGTAGCTAGTGATTAGTAATATATATATATATATATATATATATATATATATATATATATTAATATATATATATATAGTTCCTGCATCATTTTTGGCATTGCAGGAATAGAATCTAAATTAAGATAAAGAATCAAAAAATAAGTTATAAGACATAATAAATAATAAAAACATGGTATCACAATGCACAGATGAAGAGCTCCTTTATATAATAATGATACTGAGAACCTCTCAGAGAATGTGGTTTACGTATCAGCTTTTGAAAGAATCAGTGGGGAAAATGTCAAAAGATAAAATATAATCAAGAATTTGAAGGAATAGACGGGCACCTGGGTGGCTCAGTCAGTTAAGCCTCTCACTCCTGATTTTAGCTCAGGTCATGATCTCAGCATTGTGAGATAGAGCCCTGTGTTGGGTTCTGCACTGGGCATGGAGTCTACTTAAGATTCATTCTCTCTCTCTCTCTCCCTCTGCCCCTCCCCCACAAAAAAGAATGGGAAGGAATAGAAAACCCACAAAAGCAAATAACTGAATGAATTTAGTGGCCACTACATAGTGATCAAGGAGAGTAGTGATCTACAAAGAAATTAGAGAGGTTATAGAATCTAAATAATTAAGGACATAAATTATGAAAAGCAGTTTGCATCCTATCTTCACCCAATGAGTACCTGGAAAAGATACAGATTTAATCTGGTAAACTAGAAAACAAGCATAGTATTCTAAGACACAGGACAACTTAGTATAGTAGTTAATATCTATACAAATTAGTTATTTTTTTCTCTCTTTTCCCTTCTTTTTTTTCTCTGATTTCTTTCCATTTCCCTTTCTTCCCATTTCCTCTCCTTCACCACAATTTCCTTCTCTCTTCTTTTATTTTCCTTCTCTTCTTCTTTTGCTCTTCCTCCTCCTCTTCATTTTCTCTTTCTTCTTTAGCAGGAGCAAGTCTAGGAACTTTATTAACCTGTGTATGAAATCTTTTTAGTTGATTGTGCCTTATTTGGTTATGGAAGTTGGGATTGTATGGGAGCATCATTGAAGAATGTTGATATATAGGGAAAAACTTAAGGAAGACACCTCATTATGTTATGGGAATGCATAGGAGGGGGTCACTGTACAATTTATATTCAAACTCTTTACAGATCCTAACTTCCTTTTCATATTTATGAGAATCTCTAGAAATGAATTTAGGGATTTAAGCCAACATTGAGGTGTAGAAAACCTGATAGCATTCATTCATTAATTCAACAAAATGTATTTGTTCAGTATTCAGGTCCTAGAGCTCATACCTAGTCTTTAACACTGAATTTGTTACTTAATTACCTACTATCTGGAATCCTAATGGGATATGTGAACATCTTATCTACTGAGGAGTCCCCTACCTATCTGAGAACATTTATTTTGTATTTTACTACATTCAATAACACTATAAAACATAGAAGAGTATTTGTTTCTGAGTAGGTACTCAATAATTGTTTTGGAGTCAAATAACTATACAACCATAGTCTATTATAAGTTCAATATAATTAGGGGCTAGGTCACATTAATCTTTACATAAAAGATACACTAGCTTATTACTAAGAAAAGATAAGGCATTCCATATATTTCTTGAGTAAATGAACAGATGTATTAAGCTTTAAACTTCAGCATTCACAAAATATCAAATAAAACATTGTCATAATCATCAAATCATGTAATAATCCAGAGACACTTTTTTTTTTTCATTTTCTTTCCCCAATTTTCTGGAAAACTCTGAAGAGTGAAATAAAAGTAAAACATTTGGTTGAATTTCAGAATTTACCTAAAAAATGCATCCAAGAACAGGTAGAATGTCTTCAAAGATTTCCACAAGTATTATCAGGCTATCCAGAGGCAGGTAAAATTGCAACTGAAGCTATCACTAGCAGTTAGTGGTAAGCATCCCCAAAGCAGAAGGCTAACCTGTGTGAAGAGTACTGTGGAGGACTCCCTGCATTGCAGTAGAAGTTCACAAGAATTCATAAATAGGCTACTTACATGAGTCTATCATTCAAATGGTATGTAAAAGTTTGTATGGAGTATCTTCTATCTGTTTAAAATGCACGATTAATTCTCAATTTAGTATAGGTACCTGGTAATACAATTAGAATTACAGTTTCAGTATTTTCATCTCACATTTTAATGTGAAAATGAAATAATATATTGCTGCCAGTGAATTAAGTTATGGTAAGCAATTTGTCAGTAATAAATTTGGGTAATATATCCAAACGAGAATTCGGATTTACAATTCACTTTTGCAGCATGATTAAGCCCATAATGAACCATTTGATTCACTTGATCATAGTTTTATTCAGTATCCAGACCTAAACTAAGCTATATTCAATTGATTGAGTTGCTCATATTATAATACATAAATATTTAAGTGATTATTCAGATGATACTGCACTATTTTTCAAAACATTTTATCATACATTATATATGTGCATATATACAACATATATAAAAATACCTAATCATACACACACACTGAAGTCTGACTCTGTGTTATGCTTTGGGCTATAGGGAGTGCTAAATTAAGGCTCATAAACAGTTTGGAATTCAGAATACAATACATTAGGGAAGTTTCCTGAAACTAGAACTATGTGTTCAATATCTGGGTAGGGTACGGATTGGGAAAAGTTGTTACCATACCAGTCTTCATTAAACCACTTTTCTCAAAATTGAGCACAGCAACCAAAATTTTTCAGTAGATGCACTATATCGAGGACTGCTAATCTCTTTCTTTTTTATGAAGTAGGTGAAGATATAGCCCTACTTATAAGCTTGCCATCACTTCTCTCTATAGGTACTTTCTGAAATGGGAGTTGGCAAATAACGTAGTAAATGGAAATCACACGAGAAAACCTTCAGTAGGCATCAAATGGATTTTGTGTTTTAACGTTCAGTTGTTCTACTGTAGATTGTCCAAAGTAAAGACTGTTCAGTCATTAAGGATATTTAATAGTTTAGAACATATAGTCTATGGTGATAGAGACTGTGATAATATGAGAATATTCTTGTTGAATTTAATTCTCAATGTATAAACACACAGAGAAATCTTGCAAAGACACCTTGCTGTGAGCAGACATTCAAGGAGAATGTATAGTTAATGTGCCCTAAGTTAGAAAACTAGATAGTAGAATTTTCAACATGGGCATATGCAAAGTATATTTATATTTTAGCTTTTCCTTTTGATATGGTTTTTACATTCATGCAAAACTTCAAGGTTTATAGAAAATTAATATGTACCAAGTGTTAACATATGTTAGAGGTGGACAATGATAGCCTGAAATGAGTCCTATTCATTGAATGCAGTATACTATTCATAGATTGTATTAATGTACATCATCAACATATACCCAGTGGTGGCTTGCTAGGGCTTCCATAACAAAATACCACAAACTGAGTGGCAAGCAACTGAAATTTATTTTTCTCACAGTTCTGGAAGCTAAAACTCCAAGATCAAGGTGTCAGCAGATTTGATTTCCCCTGAGGCCTCACTCCTTGGTTTGCAGATGACTGCC